TTTGGCGACGGTGTAGGGTCCCAGGAGGATGTCGCTGTAAGTTGATGTGTGTGTGCGTGCTCTGTGGTGTGTGTGTGTGTGTGTGTGTTTGTGTGTGTGTGTGTGTGTGTGTGTGTGTGTGTGTGTGGCGCGCGCGCGTGTGTATTTGTGTCTGGGTGAGAGAGAAAGAAGGGGGGGGGGGGCATGAACGTCATAGTCCCTCAAGGCTTGTGGCAGAGCAAGATGATGATAAGGACATAACGAGAAACAGTTTATGAGTACTGGTCTTCTTGTAATTTTATTAGTTTTATTTTCTTCGAGCCCAAAAATAGTCCCCTCAGTTGAGAGCTATTTTCTCACATTCGAAAAAGGGTTCACTCAGTAGAACCATAGCTTCCAAGACGGATTCGCTCAATAGAGCCATTTTTTGAAGATTCGAATACGGGTTCTCTCAATAGAGCCATTGCAACTGCTTAGAACTTATGCTGGTCCTCTCTATAGTCATTTTGATTTTCTTAGAATGTATGCTGGTCGTCTCTATTGTCATTTTTCTTAGAATTTATACGGGTCTTCTCTTTAGAGCCATTTTCTTCAAATACAGGTTTACTCAGAAGAGCCAGTTTCTTCTAAACATAATATTTTTCCTTTCTTTTCTTGCATGTCTGAATTCATTGCATATCATATAGTCTTTGAATATTTTGTCGTTTTAACCCTGGATGTCATAACAAGTTTGTACAAAACATTAATTGTTAGTTGGTCTATATCTTAATCTTTTTCCATGTGGTGTTTGGTACCATATATGTCTGGCAGGGCTGTCTTCTTTCTGGCATTCTCAAAATAGCCACATCATCATCAACAACAACAATAACAACAACAACAGCAACAACAGCAACAACAACAACAACAAAAACAGTGGTTTAAGCGACTGAATGCATTATCTTGACAACAATTTGTTGATATTGACCGGACCTGTGTAACAGACCTTGATCCAGCCTGGTTTGATATTGGGGAACGGATGGTTGGGGGCCGCCTCTGGTGGGTCCCACCTGTCAACTTTCCGTCTGGAATTTCTATCTCGCTCTTTCTGTGTGGATAGTGCCGTAAAACACCCTCTCAATCAAGCCCGAAACGACCGTTTTCGTATCCATTTGCTTCTCAAACTCGAACTCACAGCTAGTTTTGCAGGTCGGTGATGATATTTACTCATCCGAACTGGTTTTTCCGTGACCATTTTGTGCCGATAGTGCCGTAAAACATTTTCAATCAACTCACTTCCTCTCAAAAGTAGCCGTGGGAAAAATAGGATAAGCCTGTGGCTGTGACAACAATGGTGTTCTCTAATTGGTGTGGTGGTTGAGGGAACAGTCTCCCCCCGAGCCATCTGTCGCTCAATGGCCCTGCTGCCAGCTATTGATCATGGCAGAATACCGTGTAATGATATCCTGTGACCACGGCTTTGATTGAAATAGTATGAGAAAGGCATATATCCATCTATTGGACCCCCCCCCACCTTCCCTTTTTTATTTTCCCTCTCTTTCTCTCTCTTTCTCTCTCTCTCTCTCTCTCTCTCTCTCTCTCTCTCTCTCTCTCTCTCTCTCTCTCTCTCTCTCTCTCTCTCTCTCTCTCTCTCTTTCCTCCTCCTCCTCCTCCTCCTCCTCCTCCTCCTCCTCCTCCTCCTCCTCCTCCTCCTCCTCCTCCTCCTCCTCCTCCTCCTCCTCCTCCTCCTCCTCCTCCCTCTCTTTCTCCCCAACCCCTCTATCTCTTCCACCCCTCTCCCCCTTTTTTCCATCCTTTGTATTCTGCACATGCACAGTCACGTTTTTATAGAGACGTGATCTTGGTGATGTTTTAGCTTTGATTAAACTTCTTCTGTAGTGTACTAACTGATAGTGCGGAGGCGCAATTTTAGTTACAAAGAGGACCTACCACTACCTCGCAGAGCTTGATGTTTCGGCTATAATTTGCCCTTGCGTTGCTTTGTGTGTCGTTCTAGACGTATGTGCTGTTACGATTAGGCGCTTCACTGTTGCACGCAGAAGACTCGAGTTCGATTCCCGTGTAGGGAAGAACATTTATCGAGTGTGTCTGGGTCGTTTAGTTTGGGTGTTGTATCCCTTTGAGTTTTAAAGTTTCAGTTCTGATTGGCCCTGTCAAGCAGGGTCGAAGCCGTCCTCTTAAATGATCTAAAGTGTGGCGATGGGGAACATATTATAAACACCTTGATCTATACATATTTGAAAATAAAATTGTCTTGCGTTGTTGAAAGGTGCCGCAGAGAGGAGGTTCTTTTCTTTGCCTGACTTTTTTCTCCGTTTTTTGTGTTCCTCTTGGCATATAAGGCCCATTATCGTGCTAATGTGTTTCTCTTTCGTCTATGAGTCACCAAACGTGTTTACATTACAAAGTGGCCCGGGTCACTGAGAACAACGAACTCGGGCCGGGTAACTGTTTTGTTAAATACAATTAACTGAATACACAAATAGAAACTCAACCGTCCTGATGAATACTGACTAGTACATAAAATGAAAAGTACTGTAGAAATTGTTTAACGTGAAAGATTTTAACACATTAAAGTCAAGATAGAGTGATACATTAAGTAGAAGTTATGAAGTCTATTAAAACACGTTTGAATTGCACTGTAAATTCCCATGGAATGATGAACTTATTTTTGGTAACCAAATTCTGAGCAGGCTGCAAACGTGGGTGGTTGGCGGGTGCTCTGATATGGTTAGCTCCTTCCTTCCTGTCAAACATCTATCGTCTTCATATGTTTGTTAGTGCGCTCATTTGACCTTATGCAGTTGCAAGAGCCATAAAACACTGACCAAAAATAAGTTTAGTACTCTCTTCCAACTCGTTAATCTTTGACACTTAATTGTCATGCAAGTACCGTAAAATATCTTACTAAAACTAAAACTCTACAAACTCATCCTCCAAGTTGGTTCCCCACCCTATTGGTGCATGGTGACTTTGAAAGGGGGGGGGGGGGTGCAGACAAACTGACCTGGTGGGTCAGAACTGGCCCGCGGGCCCTAGGTTTGGTGACCTCCTGCTGTAGTCAAATAAATCTCCGTGACGACGTTACTGTTACAATAGCTCCGAGGTCATCGCGTAAATGACGCGCCGTGCAGCGCTTACGCAGAGCAAAGAAATGGCGCTACTGTTAACAGCTATAAGTAATAGGTTTTAGCTATTCGTTCTTCTAAGTATAGCGTAGGCAGGTGAGAAGGGGGAAACAACGTTGACGCAGAGCAAAGACAAACACGGAAAAGGTAGAACGGTTACTGTTACCTTTTTTTTGTTGCTCTTCTAAGTGTAGCGTAGGTGTTGGTAGCACGGGGCCTCTGTCCGGTAATTTAGACCGACCGTTTAGCGTTCCGTACACTTAAAGGACCTGAGCATACAAAAATGTGTGGGATATGCGTGTGTGTGTGTGTGTTTGTGAAAACCACATTTTCTCGCCCTGTCTCCCTCTTTTTTCCCTCCCCCGCTCCTCAAATGTCTCCTATCCTTTCTTCTTTTTGTCTTTTCACTCTAGTGTTGCCTGTCATCTTTTTCTCTATTTCTACCTTACTTCTCCCCCCCCCCCAACCCGGTCTGTATCTCTCTCCCTTTGTCTTTGTCTCATTCTCTCACTGTTACTGCCTTTCACTGTCCCTGTCTGTCTGTCTGTCTGTCTGTTTCACTGTCTGTTTGTTTGTCTGTCTGTTTGTCAGTCTATTTGCCCCTCCATCTTCCTCCTCTCTGTGTTAAATGTCCTCCCCCACCCCCCTTTCTTTTCGCCCCTTTCCTTTCTCCTCTTCCTCCTCGATCCCTCCACCTCCACCTTCCCTCTATTCCCCGACTATACACATACACTTTCCCGGTTACGAAAATACCTCGACCATCGAGTGTTTGCCCATATTCCTGTTGGACAGGAACAGCTCCTACCCCGGGTAGCCGTTAACTGCTAACGAATGCATATATATATATCATAGCTTCAGACCGCTGCTGTGCTTTTGACTTGTATAATGCGCTTCTTCAGACATGATCTTCTAAAGTGGTTTTTACGAGGAGCAGGTGTGAGGCGTAAAGCAATTGAGTCTTAGACTTTTGGCAATAGTAATATGTAATATGGAAACGTGTTCTAACTTAATGTATGCCCAAAACTAACTCGACAGTGCCGTAAAACACCTACTGAAACAAATAACTTAACGCCCGTCGCACGTGGTTGTACATAGTGATTGTACCTACAATCTCGTCGGTCTTGGTGATGTGGGCTTGGATCGAGAATCCGTTCTAGCACCGCATATGACGCACTCACGAATCTGACATGATGATCGTATCTGACAGGTTACATTTACTTTGATATATGCGGAATTTGCACATATCGAGTGAAGCACACCCCCCCCCCCCTAAAAAAAAAAGAAATGGTTGTAGAAACCACACTTTTTACGACTTAATGAGTTTTATTCTCTAATGTTTCAGCCCGCGAAGCCGTTTGATTATGTCTGAAATTTTCTAAAGACTTTGTTAATGTACCGTAGGCACTTGATCTATCCTCGTAATCCTTGCTCAGTGAAAAGCGGTAGTTTCTGACGTTTCGGGCGTTAGGGTTTTTGTTGTTGTTGTAATAGATGATTCCGTCGAGAGTATGATCAGCGAAGTGCGCTACTTTTGTTATCTAAGGGCACAGCCAGTGGCCAGGCATGCCAAACGCTACCATGGTGACGAAAATGTAGTTCAGAGTACACATATCGCTCCTCAAAACCCAGGTGAAATGGAACTGCCGACCGCTATGTGCTTGCTGGTAGGGGATTAGGAACTGGTTTTGAAGAGCGATTTAGTGTGCTTTTCTCTTTTTTTCTCTCTCTGTTGACGTTCACCCGATAACGTTCATCAGAGTGTCAAGGACATTACAACAAACCTATACTATTTTATAACCTCATTACTCTACTCTGAGCGTAGTTTCTTTAGCCTTTAGCGTAACAGCACCCGTAGCCGGAAAATGTTGCTATTGATTAATTCCGTTTTGTTATCAGAACGGAGAGGGTTGTCGTTCGTGGGTCGACTGCGCGCTGCAGAGAGGGGGCAAACGTTATTGGTCTCCCTCCAGACTCCAGGAGCGGGGAGAGAGCACAGTACAGCTGCACGAGAAGATCACGTCGCCTGGGAGTTCCGACTGAGTGACTCGCTCTTACCTGCCGCATATAGAACACCATGGCGAAAGAAGTGGTACGTTGTCAATTTTTTCGTGTGCACTAATCCGTATCATCTAACTCTCTCTCTCTCTCTCTCTCTCTCTCTCTCTCTGAGATGTCGTCGTAGTGACGGATTTTAAATTATATTTTCAATCTCTGCCTTTCGGCTTTCATATTTGCTCCACTTTATAAAAATACCACAATGCGGGTGTTCGTGTTGTGCCCCTGAAACTGTTGTGTTAGTGAAAGTGATAAGCCTTATTCTTGTGTTGTAAACTTGTGCTGGTTGCACAGAATCCGAGAACAGTGGAGATAAAAGTGTTTCAAATTCTCCGTATCCCAAAGCGGTTTTTCACATGTTGTGGACTTCTTATTTTTATATGATCTCAGTATTCGGACAGCTTTACCTTTGACTACATTCCATTCATTCATACCCAAAGACTTACAACCAGGTGAGACATGTGCCTGCACTACTGACACTTGTTGTATCCATTTGTCGTTCGGAGTCATCGTATGCTAAACGACCCCCGTCTCAAAGAAAGCTAAGGTAGACGGCTTTGAGGTGCTTGTCTCTTGTTGATAAATGAAACACGCTTCTTGGACTTATTCCAACGCGTTCCTTTACACTTTGTAGTTTTCTGTCCTATCTTACAAACGGGAAGAGGATTCTGTAGTTTGTCCCTTTCAACGACCGGGTTTCATCTCAATTTCTCAATGGGGTCAACCTGCGCCAAACAGTCTGTTTCTGTGACCCTACCATCTCCCGTGGGCCAGACTCAGAGCGCGGAGAAAGATACAGGAAGAGTTCCCCCAGTCGGCCAGTCGCCCTCGCTGGCCACAAAACACACCGATGAGTCCAAACCCACGGGTCACTTGAACGAGGCCGAGCCTAAAGTAGCGGTAACGGGTGAGGATGGCAGAACTCACGAGGGAGTTCGGAATACTGCTGAGAAACCGCCTGTCTTCCACGGAAATGGCGACCAGGAAGGGAACAAGGATATTGAGACTGGGGAGAAGAAATCGCAGTTAATTAATGAAGGGTCATCTCAGAGTACCGCTGTGAGTGGGGCTAGTTCGAACCCTGACAAGAATGGAAAGGGAGATGTTCAGACTGGAGAAGATATTACTTCCAGCTCCGGTGAAGTTTCTCTCAGTGACTCTGTACCTGATGGGAACGCCGAAGACTCTGCGAGTCGTTTTACAGACCATCAAAATGTGCCTGAAACTCTGTCGTCTGTGAGAGAGCTGGAGAATGGATGCGACTCTGGTTTAGAGGACGAGGACGACAACGGTGTCGGGGATGAGGAGGGAGAAAGCCGACCGGCTCCTGCCGTAAGTTGGGCGGCGTTGTACTTGTCGTAGAGTAAGAGAGACTTGATGTCTGCTTTGCTTGAGGTTGCGGTGCTCGTTTGTCGTATTTACAGCGCGTCTTTCGTCGGGCGACCGCAGGATGCTGCCGTAGATCGGGATGTGAAAGTCCCGTGCTTGTACCCCTGTCATGTATCCAGACCCGCGTTTGCCAACCTGGGTAGACTTAGCCACCAGTGGGCGAGTGGTCATTTGTTTTGTTTTAGTAAGTTTTTACGGCGCTTGCAACTGCATAAGGTCATATGAGCGCCAAATTAGTGATCTAGATGGACGATGGGGATCACCACGGGTAGTGAAAGCCGTTATTTAATGCCTCGTTTGGAATTGCGTAGCTCAGCGGTACGAACGTTTTAGCCTCTTAAAGGTGACGAAAGTGGGTGCTGGTTGTAAAAAGGTTGACAAGCCCTGGTATAGAACGAACTGGCCTATGTACGTTTTTTGTTCGTTTTTTTGGTGTTTTTTTTTTGGGGGGGGGGGGGTTGTCTCTAAAAGGTACGTATAAACCGATCCTATGCTATTGTTGCCTAAATTCCAATCAGACCTCCAACCTCACCTTCTAGGAATAGAATTCTTGTATTCGTGTCTGCACGTTTACCTGTCTTTTCTGCATATTAACAGCACCCCCGATTTGGAAAATCCTTCTTTGTTAATTAAGTTGCCTTACAATTTGGTCTTTCTTTCTACTTTTCGCCTCTCCCAATTCTCTCTTTTACATAAAAACGTTTCGGTAAGCAGGTTTGAAAACTCATTGTGTGTTATTCTGTGGTTGTTGACTTGTCCTGCCACACCGGAAAATACAAAGTGGTGTACATTAAACGCGGTTGGTTGGAGGGCGCATCTGGTAGGTCCTACTTCTTTACTTTCCCTCTATTGTTTCTGTCTGTGTGTCTTATTTTTTTCCAGCACTAAATGACCATTATTGTGTCGATGTGCTTCTCTTTACCCAAACCAAACAAACAAATAAAGAAAGAAAAGCGTACATTAAACGACATGGATTGGCCCCTTTGGCTTGATCGTATCGGTGATAGGTACGTTGGTTTTATAGTGGCTTTACCGGGTGCCCGTTGCGGATGGTATCGGATCGGATCGGATCGATCGCCCGACTCGTCACCTGAAAACCCCCCAAACAAACGTGTTTGTTTTTGAGGCTATATGGCCTTATTGTGTTGCAAATGCCGTAAAACTCTTACTAAAACT